TATAAAATAATGGATGTTGTCCCCTTTTCTAGAATCATTAAAACTGTTCTTTCCTGCTTCTGTCGTGTTAGAAGAGTGATTGATTATTTTGGATTTGTTTTGGCACTAGCTAGCCACTTCTCTTCCATATACTGGCTTATTGAAACTCTGTAAATAAGGTTTTGGAAATAATGTTTTCATGCATTTATTTGTTTGACAGGAAAATTTAGAGAAGAATTTAAAGCAGCATTTTCTTGTTGTTGGCTTGGCATTCACCATCAACAGGATGAACGACTCACCAGAGGCCGGGCAAGCACTGAAAGTCGGAAATCCTTAACTACCCAGATCAGCAATTTTGATAATGTCTCAAAACTTACAGAACATGTTGTGCTGACTAACATGAGCACACTCCCAGCAAATGGTACTGGACCTATTCACAACCAATAGCATACTTGTCCCTATGCCTTTTGATGTTTTTCTAAATTAAAACCTGACCTTATATTGAGCAGTCTTTCAATGACAGCAGGACTGAAAAGCAAAGATTGTAGGAAGAAGCAATATCATTTACATAATTCGTTTTATAAATTCTCCCACAACTTTGCTTATATGCTTCAAAATCATAATTTCACATAATTTACTTTAAAACTGCATGAATTATAACCTCAGGGGAGGCTAATATTTTATTTAACTATTTTTATTGGATTTCCACTTGTATAGGTCTTGTATTAAAGAGTAAATATCTGAAGACATATATAATATTTACCCTGAAGTTGGAATGTATGTGTGAAATCAGCCGGTATTAGCTTTGTGTTTTTTCTCTGACGGTGCCATGATATAGCTGAAATTTTTTTGAACAGACATTCTCAACAACCTTGGATGCAACCCTTTTGCATTCCCTGAATCAAAGTACTTTTCATAAAGAAGCTCTGAATATGAGCTGGCTTTCTCATGTGAAGAATTCGTGCAGGATTTTCTTCTCAAATTGTCTGAGATTACCCTAGGTGCTGAGGACTGGCAAGGCCATTGCCATTCAATTTCACAGAGAGAAGGTTCTATTCATGTTCTTATATGCTGTGAGATCAGTTTAAAAACTAAGTAAAAAATAAGTGAAACCTTTCCAAATTGGGGGCTTTGTCAGGCTGGCAGACACTGGTATGGCGATGTGCCCCTTAATTCCCTCACACAGTGGATGCTGCTATATTATTTGTTATTTAACTGCTCCTACAAAAACTCCTCAAACTATTAGACCTACTGTCTGAAATTCTTTTTAGAGTCTGATACTGCACCCACTGAAGACAACAAGTACAGAATAAATCCTTTAGCCTGGGAAATCATTTGTTATTTTATATTCCCTTTTTCCTTCCTATTTATACTGTGCTCCTCATAGAATCTGAACACCTTCTAAGTAGTGCAATAAGCAATACGACTAACATCTGCCATGTGTTATTTGTTCCCTATATCAAGTTATCTTTTTTATAGCTGACATCCTGAAAAAATGGAGGAGCAGAGTTGATCGCTTATTTTAAGAACAAAGCTGCAAACATAATGAAGCAATAGCATCATTGTCACATTACCCCCAAACATAGGTATAGAGTGAGCTATGCATTTTTATTAGTATTAACCATCTCCCAGCCAGTTCATATCATCTTCATAAGAACGTAAGAATAGCCATGCTAGGTCAAACCAAAGGTCCACCCAGCCCAGTATCCTGTCTTGTGACAGTATCTAATGCCAGATACCCCACAGGGAATGAACAGAACAAGTAATTATCAAGTAATCTATTCCCTGTCACTCAATCTCAGCTTCAATGGACAATTCTCCTTAAAAAATTATGGCACTGTTTAGAAACTTTTCTGGTCAATAGACCCTTTGGTTGCTTGTATACTACTAACAGAGACATCCAGACTGGCCCCTTTATATGCAGTAAAATCACTTTAAAATCCCTATTATATGTTACAGGGGTCATGGCCAAACTCAGTCCATTGAAGTCAGTGGAATTGCACCTGTGTACACCAGGGATGAACACAACTTCAAGTTTAGCTGAAGCAGAGAATGTTTCTGTGGAAGACAGTGGCACAACAGATAACAAAGAGTGGGCCAAAAACAACCCTGGTGTAACCAAAGTGACCTTAATGGAGTTACACCAGGGATGAGTTTTGCTCTGTACATTTAAAACAACCTATGAATGGCATACCAGTGACAACACAACAGCTGGACAAAGGAATTCCTTCAAAATGACTGTTTCTTCAATTCCCACTCTTATGGAAACTTACTTACCTCATCATGAGAGTACACATCTTTACAAGACTTTTTTTTAAAAATATTTTGCATCATGCTTTGTAAATACTGGATATATTTACTTTTAATATATTCAGATGTTGTGTAATGTTCTAAAATGCCTCATGTAAAGAATTGAGTATTTCAAAGCAAGGAGTCAATAATATTTGTTACATTCTGATATCATTAATTACTTTAATTGCAAAGAACACTTGCTCCTCCTATGCATTAGTGGAATTTTGAAATTGCCTTTACAGATGATACACACATGCATGGGGTCTGGACAATAAAATGAAGGATCTGAAATACTAATGCAGGAGTTCAAACCTCATATATGGATTGCAGAAATATGTTGGAATAGCACTTCTGGCTGGCATTGAAGAGTATGACTATTTAGGAGACAAAGGTGATGGGGTAGCATTATACATCAATGTAAACGGTAAAGAAAAAACTGTCTGTATAGGCAAACATAATTTGGGTCATTACCACTTTGGGGAAGAACAGAAGGGGTTCTTTTAGGACAGCTATAGGGATTTGCCATAAATCCCCAAGCTCAAGACTCAAATAGAGATACTAGTATTTATCTCTATCATAATAATATATATTTCAATTAAGACAAGAAATAAAAGAGAGGAAACACTACTGGGAATTGTGTCATAGTGGGAAATTTTATGCTACCTGATACAAATTAGAGAATAAATGCTTCGTGATACTGGTGGAGCCTATTTATTTCTGATAGATGACACTTAGATAGGGAGGTAATTCAAAATAATTTAGATATGGCCCAAAAACTAACTGAATACTTTGCCTCAGTTTTCAATAAGGCTGATAGTATAGAACATGGGAAAGAAGGCAAGATGGCTGTTGGAAATGAGTGAACAGAAATAGGGTATGTCTGCACTACAGCGCTAATTTGAACTAACTTAGTTCGAATTAGTTAATTCGAACTAAGCTAATTCGAATTAGTGCATCCAGACTTAAAAACTAGTTTGAATTAGCGTTTTGCTAATTCGAACTAGCATGTCCACACAGAGTGGACCCTGAACTGGGGTTAAGGATGGCCGGAAGCAGTGCCGGCAGGGCATCAGATGAGGACTTAGAGCATGGAGCTGCTGTCTCAGGCTAGCCGAGGGCTGTGCTTAAAGGGTCCCGATCGCCACCCTGGACAGACAGTTCTCAGGGGGTTCCCCGCTTGCAAAGCAGTCCTGGCTTGGAGTGCCCTGAGTGCCCACACTCAGCACATCACAGCACTCGGCCATCAGCCCGGATGCACTTGCTGCAGGCTGCCATTCCGGGGAGGGGGGTTCAATCGGGGGGCTGCAGGAGAGCCAGTCCAGTCCTCCCCATCGGGGGCTCGTACCCCATTCTTCCCTCACCTCCTTCCACTTACCCCTCCCTAGCCCCCCTTCCTGATGTACAAAATAAAGGACACGTGTGTTCAAAAATAGAAACTCTCTTTATTGAACAAAACTTGGGGAGACTGAGAAAAGGAGGTGGGAGAGGGGAAGAGAGAGGGTGGGAAAAGGGAGGGCAACTACAATGATGAGGGGTTTGAAACAGGTCCCATATGAAGAGAGGCTAAAGAGACTTGGACTTTTCAGCTTAGAAAGAGGAGACGGAGGGGGGATATGATAGAGGTCTATAAAAGCATGAGTGGTGTGGAGAGGGTGCATACAGAAAAGTTCTTCATTAGTTTCCATAATAGAAGGACTAGAGGACACCAAAGGAAAGGAATGGGTAGCAGGCTTCAAACAAATAACAGAAAGTTCTTCTTCACAAAGCAAATAGTCAACCTGCGGAACTCCTTGCTGCAGGAGGCTGTGAAGGCTACAACTAGAACAGCGTTTAAAGAGAAGTGAGATAAAGTCATGGAGGTTGGGTCCATGGAGTGCTATTAGCCAGGGGGTAGGAATGGTGTTCCTGGCCTCTGTTTGTGGAAGGCTGGA